CCAATCTGAAACGTCCACCTTGGGGTCTTCCCCAGAATACATAGGAGGTGGCGTCAGCTTGGGCTGCCGCTGATCAGATGTGCCAAAGGGAACAGAGGTAGCGGACACATGGGAACCAGCAGGTGAAGCTGGACGACTGTGGGATGGTGAAACTGATGTTGGGACAGGTTGGAGAGGTTGGGGAGGAGGCACAGGGAGTTGCAAATGTTGCAGAATTTTGTTGACACTTGCTGTCAAGGAATCAAGGCTTGCTGTCAAATTATCGACCTTGCGGTCGATGGCAGAGCATTGATTCTCTACAGTGAGAATCCGTTGATCCCAATTAGAAAAGTAAGACCTGTTGAGGGTGTCTGTTAACATCACCAACTCAGCAGTATCCTTACTATACTGACTGGAGGTACCACTGGTAACAACGTTTTCAACCTCTTTACGTAACTGTCTCCTCCTCTCCTCCTTCCTGCTGGCCTCCTCAACTTCCTTCATCTCCCTTTTTAACCGCTGAACATGGGCCCATGCCTTTCTGCGGTTTTCCTCCACTTCAAGCAGGGCCTGCTCCAAGGGTGAGGGAGGAAGTGGAGGAGGGTGAGCGGAAGGTTCCCCTTCCTCAAACTACGTCTCAGCGCCATCCATTCTTAATCACTCACACAGTCTGATAAATAGAAACACACAGAGACAAGGTCAGCAGAGATTAAGATTACCCACAAACACAGATGCAATCACTGCCACCTGATGAAAAGAGACATGGTGTGATAGGCAGAAGAGCGCTCAGCCTCTGCCTGTTCTGGGTCAGTTTAGGGCAATCCCAGATAAAATCAAATTGCGATTTTTCATTCACAACGCAGAACCCTCATCTGAGTGCAATAACCCCAGAATCGTTGTCAGATAGTTAGACAGGACGCGACCTTGGACTGTAAGTAGAAGGGTTAGAATAACGCAGAGAGTCAGTAGCGATGAACACAACCCAGTGATCAACCAAGGTGCAGCGAATTACTGATGAAGCTATTTTTAGACTCCCACTACTGACACTGGCACTGTAGGACCCTGTATGACCCCGTTATAGGTGAGGTGAAGTACAGTTATCACTGTATCTGACTCAAAACATCAATCCCAGTAGAGCGCTTTCAGACATTGACTCAATACTGAATTGCAATTCCAGGGTGACTGCCAGACTGAAATTCTGACAGACAGAACCTAAGATATGACAAACCCTAGCTGTCCCAAGCACTGGCTATGGCAGCGCAATATTCAGAAGTCCATTATCACTGACTAATAAACCCTGAATTATCCAATTCCTAGGGTGTGCTGAATCGCAATACTGTAAAACAGTCAGAGATGCAATTTGAGACAGAGAGGGGGTCAAACAGAGTCAGTAGAAGTCAAAGTAGATAGGTAGGAGAAATAGATATGGCAGTCACGCAGTGCGATTTCCAACTTTCACTGACAGTCTAATTATAACTATCAGACTCGCTACAGAGACTTAAGTAAGGAACACACTTACTTCAGGGCAAAACACTTGAAGAAGAAGCTGAACTGGCTATGGCTTCCTGGTGCTCCCACGTTCAAAATCTCTTGAAACTTGGTGATACTGAAGCTTTTGATATGGCGATTAACCCCCACTAGTCAGATTCACTGAATCCAGCTCAGAATCTGAAACTCGACATAACCCCAGGTATCTCACCACTAGCAGAGTCAACGCCTGGGCTAAAATAGTCCCTCAGTGCCTCCCAGGCCACTGAGCACCTGTGTCATACCAACCTCCACACACTCCTCACCAACACCCTACTGAGCGCAGTACTGAAGATGCGATTTCACCTTGAAACCCAACGTCAGAAGCTCTCAGGTAGTGATGGCTGCCTCAGTCCATCATCTCGCCACTGTCTGGGTCCGATCTGCTCCGATACCAACTGTTATGAACATGATTGTCCGTTGATATATTATCAACGCTCACTCACAGGAACTCCAATACACGCCGATACATGCACATAAGGAACGGGAGAGGTAGTGGAGTGTCACACCGCCCAACAAAAGGAACGCAGCGGAAGACTCAGAGGAGCGAAGTGACAGAATACACAACCCAGTGAATTCTTTCCACACAAATCCCAACAATCATTCATAGAAGACAACCGAGAGATCACAGCCAGAAATCAATGAAGAGATGACAACTCGAACACAGTATTACAACTGTTTATTAAACTCAGAGCATCGTTTTCACTGAATAACCTCAGAACCCTGTTGCGCTACCCACACAGGGGTAGTGCCTCAACCCCACACACACCGAACAGCTAAAAATAGCACCAGAACCCCAGGTAACACCCAGCGCCACCCTGACATCCAACTCAGTGGCCCTCGCCAAGATGAAACAGGCTCCCAGAGCCAATCGCCACTCGGATGATGAGGAAGAAGCTCAGCACCAACAGTCCCTGATGAAGATGAAGTCCAGACGATGATACTCTCTGAGAAGATGCAGCTATGGCTGCATCGCCGCTGGGACCCTACTCCTGAGGAGGGTCAGCAGTGCACCACGTGCTCCAACGCATCAGACCTCTGATAGCCCAGACCTCTTTGACTTCCAGAGAGTCAGAGCGGACAGCGTTGACCCCAGTCTGGTCAGCGCTCCGAAGGTCTGGCTATGTCCGCCGTCTCCCACACTGGAATCAGCAACCACGGCCTGATACCGTGTGCGCAGCAACTTCCACCACGAAGTGTCAACTGCCCAAAAGGCCAGGACCGATGTCCCCATCCTATCTATACTCTAAACTAGCCTAGACACGACTTAGACCGACTGACCGACCGGTACCGTTTCTGTTTCGGTCTCTACGGCCTCTCCCTACCCGGCTATAGGCTATAGGACCGTCTATCAGCGTAGGCCCATTGGGCCCGTCTGTCCTAGGGGTAGCCCGGGTCTGCTATTCGCAGTTAGGGTAGCTGTAGGAAATTCGAGTTAGTACCGGGCCCATATTTCCTATATTTACAAATATGTCCCTCATGAATTTTCCTTACAGGTAGGTCTCTCGGTTAGCCCTCAGCCAAACAAAATTACGAATCTGTCCCTACCTATAGTGCAGCCTCGTCAGAGAAAGGCTACAGGCAACCTGGAACCAGCAAGTCATTGCACTGATGTGGTGCTGCCACTGGTCTCCATTGATAATGTGGCATATGCCACCTGTTTCGACTGCTGACGTGGCATTGTCCACGCTGTCTACATGAGGTGACTGGTTGCCAGGAGGAGGAAGATCAGGATCTGTGGATGAAGGAGGTCGGGTACTCACCTGAGGTTGACGTCATCACTGGAATCTGCTATGCCTTCATGGTCTTCACGAGATAAAGTGCCATGTGGCACTAGTGTGCGTGATCAGGAATATACTTATTATCATTGTTGATGTGGAGAAGGAAGAAGCCCGGAGAAGGAGAGGGGTCCGCAGGGATTATTATTGTGTGATCTTTCATCTTCTCCTTTGTCTATTCCCCCTCCACTCTCTTCTTTTGATGGTAATGAGATACTGTTTGAGATATCANCTTCTCCTTTGTCTATTCCCCCTCCACTCTCTTCTTTTGATGGTAATGAGATACTGTTTGAGATATCACTTCACGATTTGGAGACTTTGATGCAGGTAATGAGAATACTGATGTTTGACGACTTCTGAGTATCTGTCAGACTGGGTTCATTACAGACATTGGGAAGACAATACGAACTGTTCATGCAGCATCATGCATTTAAGGAATACAAAAAGAGTACCATCAGATGATCGAACTCTCTGCGCGCAACACACTTTTGATCGATCTTTCGGCTCATGAGACAAAAGACATACAACTGAGTTCCCATCAGGATCAAGAAATGATACCACCTGGCTCTCGTTCACCATACGAGCCGATCACCACCAAACTTGTGAAGACAACGACAAACGCAGCATTTGAGAGGAAATACAGTTGGGAAAGAAATAGAATGAAGCTGCAGACACATGCAGTGTTTTGCAGACGCCGGCTCTTAAAATCATACCCCTGAAAACATCTCAGACACTGAGCATCCCTTGCTTGTGTATCCTTCCTCACCGCCTTCCGTTCACTGCCATCTGCCATCTGCCATCCTTCTTCACTGCCTTCCCTTCACCACCAAACACAGATTCCCTCTACGCATTTCGGCGGCCCGGACAATGGAACTGCTCTCTCTCAGGAGGGTGAGTCCACTCGAGTACTTTTCCGAAAAGAAAGGGCGGTGGTCTTTTCTCTCACACAATTATGCCGCACATGCTGATCTTGCCGTAAGTTGATGCTGCGTCAACCCCTGTAATCCATTTGTACGTTTCCCTGTCCCTACCCGGTTGTGCCCGCTCTACTTGTCATCGGGCAAACTCCCAGTGCCAATGCACTGGGGAAAACGCAGACATCAGCTCGACTGGAAAACAAAATGTCAAATTACTAAATAAATGCGCAGTTTGAGAATCTCTGTTCCCAAAAACGTGCCTACTCATCAAGAAAGCTCATGCGCCTACCAAGAAAGCACGGCGTAGCTTCACAAGAAACTTAAAAAGCTCTAAATTTCAGAGTTTTCAAGCGTTTTTCAACTCCATATCCCGCCAGGAATCAGCCAAGATTTCCATCGCCGTGCTTTCCCAAACTGCATGTCCTGGCAGCACAATATATTATAAAACTTAGAGCACATCGAACGACGCTGGAAAAAATCCAGGCATCGCTTTCCCGAAGTGTAACAGTCAGCCAAGCGATGTCACATGGGATGAAGCATGGAGAGAATCCACGCTTCGCTTGTCTTGTTGGTGACTGGGCACATATTGGTGATTTGATTGGAGTATGTGCATCTTTTGAAGGATGCTGTTATGCTGGCAATGGAATGTGTAGCTTAATCTGTGTTATGCGTCTCTGATGGGTATGAACAAGTGCTGTAGTGAGTATCTGTTTGGGCATTGATGATCTTGTTAAGGTGTATTAATTTGGTTGGATACATGGGTGCTTGTATGTTTTGTTGGTGACCTTTGTTTAATCAGGAGTTTGAGGTCTAATTCGCTTAGCGGTCCACTCCCGCAAGAACTTGGAGCCCTTATGAATTTGACTGGCTTGTAAGTGGCATGCTGCTTTTGAGAATGGTGCTTGCTTTCCTAGTTCTTCAGGCATAGTAAATCGAATGGCCATGCTGCTTCAGTGAATTTGGTTCCATCCCATCTTGTGTTCAAAATCTGAGTTTGTGCTGCGAGATATGATGCGAATGTCCATAACTGACTCCCTTCTTAGGAATCTTGTTTGCCACGCTTTCTGGGCCTAATTGGGCCCCTTTGTTGGCTGGAAGACCAAACTAAATTTAGCCACCTGGACCCAGGTGCTCTGGGTCGGAAGAGCTGCCTGGACCTGGTTGGGACACCCAAAGGCCTGCATGCTCACGAAAAGTAAGTCTTCTCTTCGATGATGTTTTATCACCTCACGAAAAGTAAGTCTTCTCTTCGATGATGTTTTATCACCTCACGAAAAGTAAGTCTTCTCTTCGATGATGTTTTATCACTAACTTTCCTGCTTGTAATCAAGGTTGTTCCATCTAGGCCAAGCTCCTCTGTCCAGTTTGTTCCAACGTGGCCGATCTCCTCTTAATCAAGTGTTTCTTTTTGCATCGCCTGCTTGATTGGTTGATTGCTTCCTTCTGTTAAGATTGATCAGTTCATGCTGTCAACTTGCTGGATTCAGTCGATCACAATGCACATTTGTGAAACTTTCTGATTTAGTAGTAGTCCTGCTCATGCTTTTGGCATTGCCACCCTGATTCATTTTTGAACAGGAAGTGTGCATCGTGCTGGTACTCATGTTAAGCCAGGTAGGGTTATGTTTTTTCTTTTTTTCCTATCAAAGAAATATGCATTCTTAAATTTTAACCCATTGTTGCATTGGTATGATTGTGAGGACTGTAATCACAGTTGGATAGGTGGATCGAGCATGGTGTTTGCATTTATGTCACCCCAGATCCCATGATCTCGGATTGAATTGAATTGTCTCCTAAAGGTTTAGGTCCTTGAACAAGTACCTGCTCAGGCAATCTGGTGCCGCGTGGATTCTAAAGTCCTGGGCTCACTATTGACACCGAGCATGAATTCAGCCCTGACTTCCTGTCCATGTATATGCCAGCTGCCTGCTTGAGACCTGGACAGTAAGCGATGATGATGGCTATGACTGTGTTTTTTGCAGATTTGGTCAGTGGCACAGCTCGTTCTTCGAATCATAATCCTAATCATCATGCTTGCCACCATGTGTCACATCAAGGTCCTCACATGGCAATTACCACTGTATAACTAAACTGTAGGAGTTGATTGTTTCAAATCATGTACAGCACACTCTTCACATTATAATCCTCACATAATGCTCCCACCACACTCTTGTTTCACATTAAGATTGTCACGTGGCAATTACCATTTGCAGAGTCAGACTGTAAGCGTTCAGAGTTTCAACGTCATGCCTTTGCTCAGAGAAGTTTATTAGAGATCATGGTGGTTGCATGTACCTGTTACGTGTCAAGTAGTGCATGTGTTAACATCGTGATTCCTTGTACCTGTTACATGTGTTTCAGATCTTCCATAGTGATGGTTTTTGTCAATGACAGGGATAGTTTTGCTGAGGATTTTGGGGTGTGAATAACTGTCTGACCCGCCTCTGTGTTTGTTATATGTTGTCCTTCCATGYATTAATAATCAGRTTCCTTRAKSATAATGWGAGAATTAACGGTTCAATTCCACSAAGCTTWKKGARGCTTASCAACCTTCGGAKWTTGTGAGTAAATCTTCTCCTTCCATCCCTCACTTACTGAAGCATTTGTCTCTCTTGGAGTGTGGAATGGTGTCTGTTCATCAGACTTCATCTCTACTCTTAAAATGAAGGTGTTGGTGACCTGCACACATGTTACGATAGATATGGTGAGCATCACCTGTGGAAAGCCGCTGTTATGATCCGTCAGTATCCCATGTTGAAATACACATGTTTGGACCTTGAGATTGGATGCAACATGGCATTGCCTCCAAAAGATCAATCGGGGAAAAAGATGAGAAATTAAAAAGTATCAAGCTCCAACAATAGAGTTTTCCGAACTTTTCCCCCATCTGGACACCGCTCCTCGTCCTCCTCATGACTCCCCTTCTCAGTTTGTTGAGAACCGAGATCAAAGACTCAAAACAAAGAACCAATCGACAGTAAATAATAAATGTCCGAGTATCAGGCCTGGCAGCCACAGCCAGAGAGATTTTAACACCATGATGATCCCAGTTTTAATCATGATGTGGCACTCAAAGTTTAAGGCACGTACATGACTTGCAGCACAGATGAAAAGTTGGAGCGAAAAGAGTGAAACAAGTGAGGAAAGGAGCAATGACAACTTGCCTGCATCTTTCTGCCATAACATCAACTTCATATTGCCTCCTCCTCCCTTATTGGTCAGTGAGAAAGAAAGAATACATGATTGAACCAAGAATCAATGCCAAGTGGATATCCCTAGCACATGCTCTTGAAAATGAACACGCTGCAGCTCTAATTTCCTTGGTTGCACTGCTACGTCCAGCATGCCATCCAGACCACTTAAGCACGATGCATAGGAGACCATACAAAAGAACTCTCTATCTCCCCGACCGTCTTCCCCTGAATATAACACATGCGTTGTAAACGAGTATAACGCATGGGTTGCTTTCTATTCAAATACAACACATGCGTTCTATTCGAACAGCCCTTAAATTCGAATACAAAGCACATGCGTTCTATTCGAACAGCCCTTGATTCGAACCAACGAACTTCTTGAACTCGAATCCAAGGCATATGGGTTATGTTCGGGGGAGAACGGTAGCACAGCATGGCCACATTCTTGGGTGGTCTCCCCTCAGAAGAACCTAAAAGTGTCTTTTTGGGGTCGCCACACATAGGGGTGACGACTTTAGTCCAACATAGCCAGAGGTAAGTCTCCATCATGGTTGCCCTCGTCTTCCTCCTCTTGGTCAACTGAAGCTCTGATCCTCTACAGGCCGAACGTTGGCCCCATCTCCATAGCCAAACCCTTCTTCTCCAGCATCCCACTCCACCTCCATAGCCATGGCAGTTCCTTACCTCCGAGCTCCCTCTTGTACTCCCAGCTGCTCCGCTTCTCACCCTCAGGGCGTAGCAGTATGATGATTGCTGAGAATATACCAGCATGACCATTTGAGCCAAGCTCTTCCTTCACCAGTGGCTGTAGGTCCTAGCAGCCTTGCCTCCAAGCCTACCAGCCCTCTAAACAGGCGGAATATCATTGTAGATTCAATGCAGACTGTAATCTCCCTTGAAACCCGATGTACCTAACAGCACACCAGTCTCATGCCAGTGCGGTTCCATCATTACACCCACWGGTAAGCCTACTGCATACAGGGCCTCTCCATGTTGCTGGAAAACCCACACCGATTCCCTGCAATTTTACCTCTTTCTCCTTGTCTGTCCTACTTCTGTACCTATGTGTGAATGCTAGGACAAGCTTTAGTCCTATGCCTCTAGGATCCAAACTGCAGGCCAATCCTTTCTGTGGCCCAAGTCCAGTCATGGCCCTCGGGTAAGTATCCCGGTACAGAAAACACATGAAATTTCAAAATTTATGAATTTGTCCCAACAAAAGTCGATGCACCTGCTCGAGTTTCAATTCTTCGTTTCTTGAAGAAAAAAATTCTACAGTCTGACTGCATATGGCATTCCTTATGATGCACAGCACCAATGGTCCCAATCTAAAGCGCCCTTCTTCCATTGATAAACAAAACTGATAGTTACAATCAATAGAAAGACCATAGATCGAAATACAAACAATCCTAGTATGTTSAAAGAAAGTTAAGAAACTGACCAAGGAAATAAA